CAAAATATTGCTTATATCTCTCGTTAATAATTTGTTGGAAATTACAAGCCATATCATCCGATCTTTTAATTAAACCACGGATAGGAGCCCAATCCATATGAGTGATCCACTGGCCAAATGCTCTCATTGACAAATCATGACAAGGCTGATAAAAACTGTTAGAAATTTTCCTTTCTCCAATAACATTACATGGCACAAAAGTTACAACATTGTGATCACTAGATGCAATTGGTACTGAAATCACTGGCTCACAATAAAAATCTCCGAGATCAGTCAAAATCTTATCTAACATGTCTAATACCGCATTACCTCTGATAAATGTTTTAACAACCTGAAAAAGCGAAACACTTTGCTCCAAACTATCAGTATCAAGATCATTGAAATCATCCATTAAAAGGAAAGCTGGATTATCCTTAATTGTTTGAATAAAATTGACCACAGATACAATAAGATCACACCTATATTGAGAGTGAGGTGGAAAATACAAAACACACACAAATATTTCAGTCAGTAGATTGATTGTATGGGAAGATTTCAAATGAACCCACACCACTTCCAAATGGTTCAGAACAAGGTCACTAAAGACTTCACTACTACCGGTACATATATCATCCCGAACATAAAAAGCTACCCCACCACCAGTTTGATCTGACCGATCACGATAGTACTGATGAAATACAGCCAGCTGGCAGGCAGTTGCTGGGTTAGCTGCAGAAAACCATGTCTCCGTAACAGCAATTACCGGTAGATGAGTGGTGCTGTATTGACAAGCCAGAGCTGCCTGAAGCTCACTGAACTTGTTATTCAGCGATCGTGCATTCCACAGCATTACTGATGCCAATGAGGGCTGTACATGTAGACGATCACGAATGCAAACGTAAACCAACCCTATCCTGTCATTCCGTTCACGATGACAAGAAAGTTGCTGTGGTCGGCATGTCACTCTAACAGGAATACAGTCAGTCTGAAAGGCGGTCGTTTATGGCGACGACCTGATTTTGAACCTCTATAACGTAAAATTCCACTATTCTTTAAATTTAAAAGAACCGTCTGCTGGACGGGATGTTTGGAGCTGCGAATTGCCAACATCTGATTACGGGTATACTGATACATGGTACTTGTAGCACATTGTGATGAAGTAGGCCTGCACACCTGCTCATGCTGCTTGCTAAATACGAATTCGCTAGATGCTCGCGGGCCCAGGCTAGACACCTTGTTTTGTGGGTAGCTGTAAGGCGGGGCTTGTGCCTTGCTACCCGACCATTCAAGCCAGCTGCTGCTAGGTGACGAGACACGGTGGAGTGATGGACGTCGACACCAGTCTGGGTGAGTTCTGTTCACAGCTCGGGGGGGGGGCAGTAAGGAAACGGTTTTGGCGGCATGTCTACACCAGGAATTGGTCATCCCATGCACTGGTGGACCTTGGACGGCCAGATTTGGGGAGACTTGCCATGGATCCTCTTTCCACCAGTTTCTTTAACCCTAACCACCAAGCACATTGTTTGGCTTACACTACACAGTACTACAAAATACTTAGTAACAGCCTCAGCCTGAAGGACCTAGTGCTACAAATTACTAATTCTGGCTAGGATACTTCCATTGTTACTTGTAAAGAGAACAATAAAGCCATGCATTCATAGATTCAGAGCACTGTATGATACATTGTCTTATCTACTGTACTGTATGGCTTCTGAGAACAATAAAGTCATGTCCTCTTACAAGCGACAGGACCGAATACTACATTTTACTACAAGTAGTAATTTCTAGTATTATGTAGGGTTAGGGTTAAATTAGTCCTGATGGTGTTGTCATTGATGCCAAGATGCCTGGCTATCTCTCGCTTCCAAATTTCTTCCTCCTGCCAAGCTTCGATCATGCCTTTTTGGTGGTCAGTTAGGGGGGGTTTTCGTGGCCACTGTGTTCATTTCTGAGATTTGAGTAAAAGGATTGATGTGCAAAATAGCCCCCCTTTACAAAGCACCAGAATCCCTAATTTCCACAGCCTTCAATGGGGTCAACTTTTACTTCATAAATATTCAGAAAATGTATTTTCCCGCCATGCAAATCTTGTAGCCATTGGTTTAAATGCCACTATAATATATTAATGAGCTTCATGAATATTGAATGAGGTCTTTCAATATGGCAATTTTACACGGTTGCAAAACGCTGTTGCAAAATCGCTCTTAAATGGAACCATAGGGCTGACATAGACCCTTCGAAATATGAATTTATTTGATTAATTAACCCTAACTCCCTAGGGTGTATGCAAAATCACATTGAAATGGGAGGAGTTGGGACTGTTAGGGTTAAAATAATGACACAAGACACAGGTCGGTAAATTTATTGACAAACTGAGATATTTTATGGAAAAATCAGCAACTGAAAAATACAACCGAGGTGCACTATATTTTTTGCGGGGCAGTGTACATGTACCGGTACATGTATTAGTACAAATGCTGGGGGTATCGGTACCTTGTTTTAGCAACATTATATGCCACAATGCATTGCAGATCTAATACAGTACTGCTATTCACATGCACAGCACTTCCAAATTCTGAAATAATTGACTTAATCTTACCCCCTATGGTGTATGTAAAATCATATTGAAATCGGAGGATCTGGGACTGTTAGGGTTAAGGTTTCCATATCGGTTTTACACATGTATTAAAGGCCATGGAAAATATTTACTTGGCAGCTTAAAAACTCTTTCTTTCTCCCTCTACCAACGATGACCCATTTAACTAAACACAACGAACCTCTAGAGCCAGTGAGACTGAACTGGATGTACATGTAGTTCAGAAATTTCTCACCGAAGAGTGTCCCACTAGCACCAATCAGGAGACTCTACAGGAGGACTTCAATAGTGAACCGCCTGCCGAGAAGAGGAAAATCCTAAGAAAGTGGCTAGGAAAGAGTTCCAAATCTTGCAGTACCCCCCACAACCGTCAAACAAATGTGTCCAGAATCCACCAGGAGATGTCGCTGTACACATTACTTCCTGTGATTGACTGTGACGGCGATCTTCTGAAATAGTGGCATGAGCACCAAATGGACTACCCTTTGATGGCCATTTTTTAAGCGATACCTGTGTATCCAAGCCACATCCTTGCCATCAGAACGCCTCTTTAGTAAAGCTGGCCCCATCATGCCATAAACACTGATAAAGAGCACAGCTTAATCCTGAGAAAGCCAGCATGCTGATATTCTTGGCAAAAAAACTTGTAACTATCATTTTATACCATCTGTCTGATTGATGTACACCAACAACTGAAAGCAAAATGGAAATGGTTTAATAGTACTATCGTAACTGGATTGATGGAATTTTTAAGCTTGGGTAATTCTTACATGTAAATGTATATTACGGCAGTAACATACTAATTCATTTTTGCAGTACCGATATATTATCAACATCACCATTTTTTCTTTGGATTGTAAACTGTTAGGGATCATAAACCAGATTTTTCTCCCATTAATTAATATTATGCACCACGTGGGTTCCAGTTGTTTTGAAAATGCATGCAAATGCAATCTCCAGGCCTTGAAATAAATGAAAGCCACGACGGCCAGTGTTGTCATTGCCCTTCCCACTGGCCGAGGTTTTGCCTTACCCTATATTGGCCATCGTGCCTTTTCCATGAACATCCATAAGCCTATTAAAATATGAAAATCCTTGGTTTCAGATGCTTGCAAACCCACTGAAAGTGTATTTCGATGTCATGCCAACCCGATCGGCTGTCTTAAAATCTCACAGCATCGATGTTGCATACAATGCACACCAGCTTTGATGTCAATGCATTGAATGTACATGTATGTGCTGCACACTTGTTCATAGAAGCACGGGTCTGAAATGTGCTGATACTTCAGGCAGCGACACCCTCACTGCAAAAGTGAATGCCTCGATTTGTGCACTCATATTCCAGCAGGAGAAGGTGCGAAAGATTTCACGTGTAGAGTTGCCTGACTTTCTGTTCTCAGTGCTCATATGTGTGGTACAAAATTCATATTGGGGTCTGTGTACGAGGAGTGGGTACGCAGGTGTGTGTGTGTGTGCATGCGGTGTACATGTACACATGTACATGTATATTCTGATTGCCAAATCTTTTTGATCATGCACCTAGTGCTGATTCTATCTGGCCTTGGTGCCCTCCCAACTGGCCATGATGCCCTCTATAATTTTACTTAAGTTAAGGTCAAAGTGGCCCTGCCCTATCAATTACCAAATTCATGGCCTGACAGAGTGGTGGTTAGCTTTGTGATGCGTAATTATTCCCAACAGCTTGACATCATTTGAGAAGCTTGTGAGGGATGCGGAGGAGTTAGATAGGCTGGCAGTTCCTTCAGTCATCGGCAGATTTGTTTGGCTTGAGTAAGGCGACGATTGTAGCATCCCACCATATGTGTATGCTTGGCATGGACTGACTAATGAAGCAGGAAGAATAGAAATCCTGAAGCTACAGCACACTCCATGAACCAAACCAACCCCTAACTGCAACAATCCTGCACTTTCAAGCCAGCCTGATTGCTACTGAGGACCCAATTGTAGCCCACATGCAGATGGTCCAATCACTGACTCTGCAGTGACCATGTGGCCACAGAGGAAAGGTCAGGTGACTCCACATACTAAGAAAGCCTGAGTGAAAAGAAGCCCTAACTATGCACTGCTCATCACACTGCGACAACGAAAGACCAAAAGGTACAGCATTTAAGTGGTTTATTGCAAAGGAAAAGAAACATTAGGAAACAACATAAGATCTTAGAAAATGTTCATGAGCAAAACTATATACAAACTATATATACGTGTGCCAGCAAGCGTGTCAGTGCAGCCCTCGATCCAGCTGTTGGGTGGTAGAGTGGGTGGGGCTGCAGTGGAACCTACTTGACTAACATGTTTATTTGTTATTATGGGTGGTACTCATCAAAACCCCTTCACTCCCAAAATTCACAAAATAACAGAAACAATGCAATGGCATAGTAAAAACATTTTGAAAAGAATGACTTACAAGAGGCCAAAAGGTGAAGATGTTGTACTTCTGGTTGCGGATTTTGTTTGCTGGGTAAGTCTCTTCTTCGGGTCCATGTCGACCGAGCCACACCTCACGAGGTTTCAGCTCTTTCTCCTTGAAGAGACAGCTTTTGCATGGATGAAAACAGCTGTTGGAATATTTAAAACAAATTTCAAAAATTGCCACTTTTAAGTACTGTGAAATTCATGGCACATAATGCTGGTTTTCAATCCAATATGTGCCCAAAGAGACATTTACTACCAATTGTCTGACACTATGGAATGCTTATTAGGGCTTCAATATGCTTGGTCACCCAATTTCAAGCTCCAACTCAATAATAATTATCATCCCCATGTGGTCCATTTGTGTTAATGAAAATGTTTTTGGCAGTTAATTTAGAACAGTACATGTACCATATTTAACAAACCCTAATTTCTTGAGGAACATGCTGAATACAGATACAAAGAGAAAAACAAGACACTACTCAGTACAAGTACACGTATATGCTTTTTAAAAAAGACTGTCGTGTTGCTGATGGCAATCATTACAATGTACTATACCTTGTACATGCATCATATATATTGTTGAAGCAACCATATAATGTCCCTCGTTTTTTCCCCTTCCTGGTCAAGCTTTCATTTTCACTATCCATGCCATCTTCAGACATGATTAGTGGTACGTCATCCAGTGGGCCCTCTTCCTCAAGATCTGGACTATTGCAAATAAAATAGAAACAATCATGACAACCTTTTGTAGGGTTCAAAATTCAAATTTTGTAAAAAAAAAAGCACCAAACAGGTCTCTTAACTGAAGAATTTTACTGGACCTTACCTATTTTAAAAAGATCTGTGCCATAAATAAGAAAAACAATTTGCACAATGTGAAAGGAACACCACAACAAAATGTGATTTATCTGTATAAAAATACCAGTAGCAGTCCTCGAATTTCCATGTGACTTTTGTTCCTCTTCACATGCTAAAACAAATGCTGCAGATGATTGTGTCGCAAAATATTTCATGCATTGTGCATACAGCCTCTGCATATTGTAGACTATGGTCAACAGTTCACAAAATCCAACAGGTTCATGTACTTGTCTATGTACTTGTACACGCAGGTCACTGTACCAAACCTGATAAACTCCAACAGAATGAGCCCGTTGGAGTTTGAGTGATACGGTGTGGTCTATGCAGAAAAGGATGGCTTGCATTGAACAGTACCAAACCTGACAAAATCAAGCATAGTCCAACAATTGGTACAGCAAGCCAGATACTGCACACAATGACCTGTGTGTGTCCCAACTCACACAGAATCCAACACCATCTCCCTGAGCCTTTCATCCCAAGTCTCACAAAATTCAACAACAAGTTCCTCAGGTACAGTACCAAACCTGCCAAAACCTCACAAAACCTGCTGTTGGAGTATGGCAGGTTTGGGGTAGTTAGGGTTAAGGCATTTTATTTCATCATCTGTGATAATCTAAGGCAAGTATTGCCATTTTGATTAAATGAAAATCATTATTCTTGACTTTATGCATTTCAGATCTCTAATTTGTTGTTTAAGATTACTGTATACCGTACATAAACATGTATGAAATTTTACAAGCCAATACATAGAACATGCCTCTATCATATTGTTTGGCATTCTCAGTTTCTGTCCTACAATGCATTTGACCATGAAGATAAATTTTGCCAGGAAACCTACATGTATGTATGTATACTAAATGTAAACAGGTTACCTGTATGTACCGGTATGTACCGGTAAAACTGTAGGGGTGCATTATATATGTTGAGACAATTCTGAGCTCTAATATTAAGTTGAAAAAAAGTTACTGAATCCAGTTAATTTTGTAATGATTTCAACCGCAGGCTTATTGCCATGCGGTTTACTTTTTACCCTAGTACAATCTTATCTATGGGATCTTTACAATAATTAGTCAATTCTATAATTTTGTACTAACAACCCTTCCATTGTAGGGGCAGTAAGCTCATTTCTTGGTTTAAGAATCAAGTAATATACAAAATATACGGGGGAATGGAATATTGGTCACTTACATGTACATGTGTGCTGCTGTTTTACCCCCATAACAACATGATAATTTGCCTAAAAAATCAATGCCCTGTAATCTTTTCACAAACACAATCTCAGCAAAGATCTCACAGAATACTTCCACAGGATATGACTTTGAGAACTTTTCTTTGACTCTGCCCCATGCAACCAGGAGCCCCTTCATGTCAAAAGCACCTGTGTACCCCGTAAGAATTGTGTCCTGGCCGTTAAGACCTATGCACAGGCTGTTCATTCACAAGTGAATAACCCTGATCATTTTCATCACAGTCCCCATGATAATCTCTCGGGGATGAGCATTCAGCACTCAACTTGCTGTGCTCCCGCACTGACATCATCATCAAGCTGGCAGATAAAGGTTCAACTGTGGTAATTATGGACCGACAGCAATACGCTGATGAACTCCATCACCAACTCAACAACTGTACTTACTATATCCCCCTTGATTCTGACCCCACAGGACCATTGTCAAAACAGATTCAGCGGGTATTGGATGATGTGTGTTCATGTGACCAACTACATGTACATGTACCTAAGAAAGTTCACAAGTTTTTATCCCCCACTGACTGTAGAACTGCTAGGTTTTACCTACATGTACTCCCCAAGATCCACAAGGCAGGAAATCCAGGAAGGCCGATCGTTTCTGGGAATGGATTGCCCACTGAACACATATCTTTGTTCAAACTTTTCTCAAACCCCTTGTTCCACAGATCCCATCATACATTGGACAGTATATCCACGATATGCCAGACTTCCCAAGAAAGCTGGAAAACATCTAGAACCAGATTCCCATCACAGCCATCATTGGGACCATTGATGTTTCGTCTCTATATACTAACATTCCCAATGAAGAAGGTAATCGTGCCAGCTGCCCTCGTGAACAGCGGACACACAACTCCCCCATCAGTGATGTTGCAACACTAATGAGACTTCAACTAACCAAGAACAATTTCTCCTTCACGGGCAAACACTATCTACAGGTACATGGCACAGCTATGGGCACTCATACGGCTCCTTCCTTGATCTATGGTCTACACCAAATGACTAGATACCCCTGTGGGCCACCAATTCAACCTTTCTTTCTACGTCTGACATGATATTACAGGGCATAGAATCACTTGGGCACTGTAAAGGTGCTGTTCGCTTCAACAAGGAGAAGCTTTGGATCAAACGCCTCTGCACCATACAATCCCATGGGCTGAACACCCAAGAGGGAAACTACGGTCTCTTCCCACCTTACATCCTTTTGCTTTTTATGCTGTCCCCTGTAACCCTGTATCCAGCCTGAAGCTTTCTTGACCTTTCCTTTTATCCTCCTGCATTCGTCTGTGCTTGGTTGATTCCCTGCTTGCTTGTTCGTCCTGTCTACTTGTCATTTTGCCTTTGAGAAAGATTCTGCTAGGATCAAAACAACAGGCTCTCTATATTTTGTGATTTTTTAATATCTGCTTTTCAAAGAAGACATACCTGCAAACTTATCTAGGGAGGTTGTTTTACAAAACTACACCTTGTGTCCTTATCACAGGATCGGAACTGATATCAAAACTCCAATTCCATTTTTTTTTTTTCGGGTAGGCCTGTTCGATATCATGATAATTATCAAAACTGTGATATACCGGTATTTTTCATATCGAATTGGGCCTTTTTTCTCAGATAAAAATATCACAAAATTTGATACATCTAAAAATCTCGTCTCTTTACTTCCACTGCTAAGTTACTGGAGCAACAAGAACATACATGTACATGTACATGAGCATGCAGACCAGGCTCTAAGTCACTGACAAGTTCTGCAGGTGCACACTCAAGGGAACCATCGGCCTAGGATACAAGCTCTCTCAATACTCGTGCTGATGTCAGGCAGTGGTATGAAAGACGTTCATTTATTTGGACTCTGTGAAAGCTTAATCACAGTGTTCTGGTATTGTTTGGTATCCAAAAGTGTCATATTTGTCACTCAAATCACGCTTTTATCACTAACAAAAAATGACTGCAGGCAGTTTGACGAACATTACTTCCCAAAATTCAAACAACAAAAACTCCAAACAAAGTAACCATGGTAACATTGACATGACTTTTAAGAAAATATGACTCTTGGCACTCAAGGTGGCTTTCATCTGTGGGTGACAGGACAAGAAAAGGAAAAGATAAGAGCTGTGATGCGATTGGTCAAGCTATCACACAGCTGACAGTTACAGAGTACATGCTGCTGATTTTCTGTAGAGTGGACGGGTAAAATGCTCAAAGTTTTCACCATTTCGATAAGGATATAAGGTGAATAAACCTCCCTGTCCATGCCATCTGATGTCTAACTTCACCAAGAAGGTACATGTATGTATGAAATTTGGTTACACAAATAGTTCGGCTGTTATGGAAGGGTAAGTTAGCACAATCAAATCATCCAAAATGTGTTTACGGGAGTTTGTGCATGGCTGTGAAAACCTCACAATTCTGGAAGTAGGAGTCCCCTAGTCTGAGTACGTACATGTACATGTAACTTGGGCCCTACAAATTGCCTTTTTAACATTTGGACATGGTCGGACGATGTAAGGAGAATGATGGATGTTAGGTTTTTCCAGCAATAACCACAAGTCTGGTATGCTTGGAAAAAGCAGCTTCAGAGAAGTTCATTGGTACATAAATCACCTTCATAGCTTGAAATTATGAGCGTTTGAAAGATACTTGCAAGGGTATATTAGGTTTCATTTACGTTTATTCCTTTGAATAGAGTGAAACTGGAATCTTTTTATTAGTTTCCAAACTGAAGCCTACCATCACCAAAACAACAGCCTGCAAGTACTTGCTGTCAGTCGTGCTAAAATAGGCTTTGCAGGCAATAAATGACACATTTTATGGATTTAAAGACTAATTAACCTCAATCAAAGTATGTAACTATTACATGTACATACATGCTGTTGTGCAAACAATTTTGGAGTGGAGTGACTGAAAACTTGAAAGTGAAAACAAATGCAAATACCCTCCCCAAATTACTTAAACCTACAGTATAGCTGGACACCCATTATCTGATGGTTTAATTACATTTTTATCAAGGATTTCAGAAAATAAAGGAAAAACATGGAATTTGTATTTTTATGTGTCATTTATAAGAAATACAGTTTAAAACCAACAACAGACCATTGCATTCATTGCGCCTGAAACTGCATTTTCTCATTTGAATCTTCTCCAAAAATGCTGTCAAATTAAATATCTCTTTAACACGCATGTTTCATGAGTTTTGGACCGTGTAACCGGCTAATTTTCGGGATTTTAGCAAAATCCAGACATTTTACTGACGATCCTGCCTCTCTCTTCACCAACGATCCGCACATCATGAGCTTCGGACTGTCCCACATGTCAGTTGAAATGAAGACTGGTTCCCGTCCCGTCGCAGTACTCCAGACGTACATGTATTTACAACAGCGACCAGTCCAACAATGCAACCTTGTTCCCATGGGTACATAATCTTACCATGCCATGTTGATTCCCAGAGAAGGAATGCACACACGGCCCATGAAGTCGAGGTTGGCAATAACACAATCCATTGTGCGTCATTGGACTGGTCATGGTCCCTATATGCATTCGGAGGACTGAGATGGGATGGGAACCAGTCTTAGTGGACATGCGCAGCAATGTGAAGCTCTAATGCATGGATCGGTAAAATTTCTGAAATACGACAGTTCACCAACATACGAAAATCATAGCTTATCGCAAGTTCCATGGGGAGGGTGGTTGCCTTCCTTATTAAAATTCGTCTTTTTTTTTTTGGTCAAGTTACAACTGGCATTTTTTTAAAAATGAAAACATGACATCACTCCATCATCATGGTATGAGTTCACCTGTTCCTACCATTTTTACCATGGGTTTTGTCATCAAGTTTTTACATACTAGCAGATGTAACTGCATGATCTGGTAATTCTCTCAAACTCCCTAGTGATAGTACAGGTACATTTAGGGTCCAGGTACATGTAAATTCCATACTAGGCTTTTGCTTCCATTAATTCATTTCACCCAAAACAACTCCTAGTCCTACCCCGAATCAAAATCCTCCAGATTCACCTCCACAACAATCCTCAAACTGTCAAATTTGCCCGGGCTTGGACTGAGTGAGAATCAGAGATTCCAATAATGATGGTAAGGACAGGGTTACTCAAATTTGGGAAGAAAAGAGAAATTTCCCTACTGTCCCCCAACCATGTCCAAATGCTTAAAAAAGGAGATTTTTAGGGTCAAGTTACTCAGACTAGGAGTCCCCAGTCCTGGGCTGAAGCCTGTCATGATTCTGTCTCAGCAGCTCAGGCATGAGCATGATGAGTCTGGTCCTAGCCCAGGTTGGACGCCACTCTTCATTTCATTACGAATGATGTCTAGGTTCATAGACTTGTGTACAAAACAACCAAAAATTTGGTTCAAATTTATTCTTGGTTTACTTTGTTGAAGAAACTATATGTAATTTCATGGCCTTATCTATCGATGTCTGGGGGTTTTGGAATTTCACAACCAACCATGGACTGCAAAATCAAGGAAAATAAGTGAAAGACAACATTACTTTTGTGGACGTAATTCATTCATTGAGTTGCAAAGTGCATGCACATACAGGAATCTGAGCTGTTGCATGCCTGCCAAACGGAGGCTGTGACTGGTACCTGGCTTTAACCCGCCTGCTGATGTAAAAAAAATGCAGTTCCATTTTTGTTGGATCGGGGGATTCAGACGACCAGTAACCCCCCCAATGGTTCTGCTATTTTATAAGAATAACGTCGGTTAGCGTAGCAGACTTTGTTTAGGCAGGATTCTTGTATGGGAATACATGTAAGTTCATAAACAATCTCTCTTTGAAGTGTTTAACATGTTTAATTTGTTCGTAGATTTTTATTGGTTAAAGATGCATTAATATACAATACAGTTTGATAGGGTCTTTTGATAACATTTGATTGAAACAGCATGTGTGGTTTATGCGCTTGTTATTAGCATCTTGCTACATGTACGCCATGCACCAATCTGATGCACATACATACACCATTATGTGCACAGTTGCACGACAGCACCCCAATACAAAAGGGCTGTTCGGCACCAGTTCGACATTACTTTTTGACAAAAAAACAACTTCCTTTTCTTCCTGAAATTCCAAGCTTTCAAATGAACACCATTTCATAGATGTTTCATCAACTCCTTATACATGATTTGGGGGGATTTTCAACAGAAAAATGCACATTTTTTGTTACCTTTTTGTAGTCTTCACAACCAAAACAGGGCTTACTGGTACTTCGGTCAAATGCCTTGAGTCATACATCAAATGAAAGAGTATTATAAGCTCTACAAGATGATGACATCATTGCTCCAACCTGGTTGAGTCTCACGAGTTATTAGGCTTAGACAAGACTATGTCACACGACAACAAAGATGGCCACACACAGTCATGACAGTTGTTGACGTACATGTACAGTAAGTGGCTCTGATCTTACATTGTTTTCATCATAGGCCTACTTTACACCCAAAATTTGACATATATAAACAGACATAATAATCTAGGCCTAGGCCCCAACACAAATTTCAGTTTCTTTACAACACAACTGCTTTTTAAAATATAGAATTTGATGCACAAAAAGGGCAGAAATCATTGATTGAAAACAAACACTTTTACACGCTTTCAGAATGCAATTTAGAGGTGCCGTTTCGCTGGAGTCCCTACTAAAAGATACCCACTACAACAGGCTATAGCCCTACTTACTTGTTGGGCTAAGCACGTCCTTGCTACCGGTCCTCGCTCTAAAGTTAGTGACAGGAAGCATAATTTTATTGTGAGGAATCATGCCTTGTAAAAATAACTCCTTAACTGTGTACAAATATTCACAAATACAGTCTTTATTTCTTACCTATTTAATTTTGTGTACTGGTTAGTCCTACTTGTGGATCGCGAATGTTGGCTACTTGTTACAATTCTCAACGAATAACGATCCGCCATAATACATACGGTATAATAATAATTGTTCATCACTTCCGCTTACGTGGAATTGTGGGATTTCCCAGTGTGACATTGCCGTTTTCCAATACTCGATTCGGCTCCGTCCGTTAAGGCTTCAACTTGATTTGGTGGGGTTTTGGTGTTTTTTAACTACCTGACTTTGAAGTTGTAAGCACAATAGTGAGTCTGATAGAGCAACAAAATATCGAGTAAGATGCAAAAGAGCCAAACATCACGTCAATTTAATTTTAACGCTTCAGGCCAACAATTAGACTTGAATCACGTCGGACTTACGATCCTTTTCCACATCACGTATGTTTCACTCGATTATGCATTCGACGTGTGGAAATTATTGTTTCAACCGTGCGCGGCGGTTACTTGACTTAGGCTCGTGAACCATACGGAATTCTCCTTTGCAACTTCCATCCTCTGTTGTATGGTGTACTGCTTACGACAAACTTTTCCCTCTCTCTTTAGCCTCCCTCCAGGCGACGCAACTACACGACAGTTATCTATGGTGTTTTATAGCTGCCAAAACTGCGTCGCGTCGTCCCGTCGCCCCGACGCCATGACGCGACGTTACGACAGCTCTGTCGCGTCGTGGCGTCACCTATTTTCTCATTACTTTTAATTTTATGCTGTGTGTAAAACATTGTGTGGTGCCGTCTTGCCGTCGCGTCGTGCCGTCGCGTGGTTTTGTTTCTTGATGATTTTGCGTCGTGCCGTCCCGTCTTGCCGTCGTATCGTGCCGTCGTGATGTCGCGTCGTGCCGTCGTAGCGTCGCGTCGCCTGTCACTGCATGGTTTTTATGCATTGTGGGTTAGGCCGTAGTGTCCTGCCGTCGCGTCGTGTCGTCGCACCGTCGTCGTGCTGTCGCGTCGTGTCATCGTCCGTCGTATCGTGCCGTCGTGCCTGACCGGTTTCTAAAAATGGCTGGTGATTACTAAGGCCAATAAAGGGCGTATGTCACAAGTCCTGGAAAAAATAATGTGCGTGCATAGGTTACACTCATTGATCTCTATTATAAAAACTGGATAGGCTATGGCGCCAAAAACGCGTCCCGCGTGTGCATATTTTCAGACAGGTAAATAACAAGCACTGCAAATTTTGTTGCGTGCACTTTCAAAACTGCTTGTTGAGGTTATTGTACTTCAATCGTCAGATTACCAAGAAAAAAACGGAATTCTGCCCCCGGAATGGATAAATTTGGAAAGAATAATGGTTGAGGTGTGCGCAGCAGAAAATTGCCAGAGATCGATGGTAAAATCAAGTTTGGAAGAAGGAGCAGCTTTTGACATGTGAGTCGCACATTCAGAAGGTTTCTGCACGCCTTGTGCTATAAATATTATTTATTGGCAAAAGTGGTTTTAAAAACTGAATGATTAATTTGTCGTTTATTTTCCCCAGATTTCATTGGAAAAATCTCGAAGAAAGCCATGATTTGTGTATGTGAGATCTGCAGACGCATTGAACCCAAATCGTGTGACAGACGATGTGACATGAGTGACGGAATATCCATCTTCAGGGCAGAGATCATAGAGCGACGGTCAGAGAGCTGACGTTTTCGTCGAGTTAAGTAACAAACAAGGAAATTCAATCAACAAAATGAAAGAAACTTTTTCTAAATTATAAAATTATTCGGTCTCAGTTAACACTGACCTTTTTGTCTCAGAAAGTCGTTGCTAAATGTAAATCTTTAGTCGAGTTCGGATCTCAATTTTTTTAATTTGATTTAGGCTATAACTACTGTGGTGAAAGTGGCACAAATTTAATTAGTTTGGCTCGCAGTCAAAGTTCTGTCATTTTGGGCTCACAGAAAAGATTTTTACACTTATCAGTTTTCAATAAATTTACTCAGTATATGAATGGATTTCAGTGCAGTGTTTCCCGTGATTCTTTAAAATTAAAATTAAGGCTTTTTGATTTACTTGATGAAGTTTTTCAGTGTTGACTCTTTGACACCAGACGGAAAAACACGTGGACAGTTTGGACATTATAATGTAAAACCTCTTGTGGGTCTTGTGGAACTTTAATGTTTAGACACTCAACAAATCACGATCGAACCGACCCAAAGTGACAACATTGCCTGAGCAAGACTGTAGACAAGAGGTGTGAAAAATGAAGAAAAAACAAAAACAAACACAACAAACAGAAAAAAACAGGTTAATTATTATCAGTTTTGAGTGGGTTATTTAATGAGAAATGGTCTGTTAAGTCGAGAAATTATACATTTGCATCAGAAATGTTTTTTCCATCAATTTTGACTAAATGCGCACCATACAGCATCACATTACCCTCCGTGCCGCCATTGTACGGCCGCACATTTTGTACACACACAATGGGCGATGACCTATTCAGTCTTTATAATAGAGCTCAATGGTTGTGCTACACCAAATACGCGTGCGCCCATAGAGAACAGTGTAAAATCAGACCGAAATAGAGCCGCGTTTTTTCATTGGAAATTCAAGACTGTGGCCAGACGATCGTTTCAATTTTATGGGGGTTAGCCACGTGAATTTTATTTATTCACCTTTCCCCGAAGATACCCCCCAAAAGTAGTAAAACTGTGCAATCAGCTCTGAATGTAGCCGCCCGCCTCTATCTGAAATAGGTCCGCAAAAAGGGGCCCTTTTGGAGAGAAATACCCCCAAGGAAACGAGGCTCTGCATGCCCATGGCGGTAGCGTACAAAGAGCGCATAGGTAGCAGGTCTTGTTTCTGTTGTTCTTTTTCA